ACTGAGGGTTGCGATCCGTTGCCGGACACGGAAAAAGACAAAAAAAAAAAAAAAAGAAATCAGGAGAGGGAGATAGCCAGTTTCACACAAACAGGCCACTTTCAATCGTCCATAGACATGATGATGAAGTTCCTTCTGCTTAATCCTTACATAAAAAGTGTTGTGTTTCAGAAAGCGTTACTTTCTTTTTTGATACTCATCTGTATTTTTCATGTTTTATATGAGCAATATTACTTTCATAATTTTTTTAAAGTTATTTTCATTTTGAACACTCTATGAACCTACCAAGGTCAAAGCTTTGTTCTCATAGGTCAGTTGTAAAATTGGAAGCAATTCTGTTTATTGCCTTGGCGTTATCCTACCACTGGAACCAGCAGCTGGTAGACTAGTGGCAACACCTCCCAGTGACTATTCCTTTAGACCAGGTTTCTCAGCCGTGGCACTAATGACATTTGCGGCTGGATAAGTCTTCGTTGTGGGGCCTGGGCATTGTTGGATGTTTAGCAGCATCCCTGGTCTCTACCCACAAGTTGCCAGTAGCATACACCCTCCCCAGTTGTGACAACCCCAATGTGAATACACATTGCCAAATGTTCCCTGGAGGACAGAATTGGGAGTCTCCAATGAAGAACCACTGCATTAGACCCAACCTTATTCCCATACAAGAGTTTCATTTATTCATTCACCAGATATTCCATTGCATACCTTACTAAGGGCAGGGCACTGTTTTAGACACCGGGAGTTAGCAGTGAACGCACGCAGCTCAGCCTCCATATTCACAGAGCCTATGGCCACGTAGCCAGAGTCATTAACAGATGACTGTGGCAGTTTACAGAACCCCATGCACCAGGACTAGGATTGCTAGATGAGGGGTCAGGGCGATGGCCACCCAGCTACACAGACCACTGAAACTCCCCACCTTCACTCCTGATGCAGTGTGGCTTTGTGTGTTGCAGGCTGTGGTAGATGGAGGCTGGGCCCCATGGGGACCCTGGGGAGAATGTTCCCGGACCTGCGGCGGTGGAGTGCAGTTTTCACACCGTGAGTGCAAGGACCCTGAGCCCCAGAATGGAGGAAGGTACTGCCTGGGTCGGAGAGCCAAGTACCAGTCATGTCACACGGAGGAATGCCCCCCTGATGGTAATCATCACTAAGGCCCACCTGCCAGAGCAGCTGCTGTTGTTGCTGCAACGATCCCCAGAGGAGTGGGGTGGGTCTCCCAGGAGCAGAGTTTTGCCTGTGTTCCAGACTTAAATGGGCTCTGCAAGGCACCAAGCTTGGAGGCAGACTCAGGGACCCAGGACAGTTGTCACTGTGATGGGAGAGCCTGACACAGTCAAGGAGAGCAATTTCCCTGGTCTTCCAAGATGTGGAAATAGAGGATGTCACTCCCAACCAAACTTACTGGGGAGGGGCCTTCGCAGAGGGGCTAGTGTCTAGGATAATAATCTCCTGGAGGCATCTGAACCCTCGTCTGTGTGCAGAATGGAAGCGTTTTCCAAAACAAGAGTCAGAGCCAAACCTCCAAGCTCTTTCCAGCCAACATTCAGCCCAAGGCAGAGGGAGGATTTCTGAATCTGATTCCTGTGCACATTCCTTCTGAGAAGAGTTGCCCATCTTCCCCTGGGGCCGTGGCAACTGCCTGACCGAACTTTCCCAGGAAGCAACACTACCTCTACCTCCCGTGGCATGTTTCTGTCCCCTTGCACCCACTAGAAAACACACACACTCCCCTAGAGGTGGCCCAGGGCAGCAGCAGATTTGTGAGAGGTGGTCATGAGAAATTTTTCCCCACCGTCCCATCCAGCTACCCTTTGTGCAGCTCCGGGAGGTATTGGCAAAGACACACCACATTGGGTCGATGTCTAATAGGGGAATCTGTAGGCTTTGCAGTTTTGCAAGATGGAAAGATCAGCAATGGCACGAGGATCTAGAAATTTTGCCTGGAATTGNGGAGGAATGCCCCCCTGATGGTAATCATCACTAAGGCCCACCTGCCAGAGCAGCTGCTGTTGTTGCTGCAACGATCCCCAGAGGAGTGGGGTGGGTCTCCCAGGAGCAGAGTTTTGCCTGTGTTCCAGACTTAAATGGGCTCTGCAAGGCACCAAGCTTGGAGGCAGACTCAGGGACCCAGGACAGTTGTCACTGTGATGGGAGAGCCTGACACAGTCAAGGAGAGCAATTTCCCTGGTCTTCCAAGATGTGGAAATAGAGGATGTCACTCCCAACCAAACTTACTGGGGAGGGGCCTTCGCAGAGGGGCTAGTGTCTAGGATAATAATCTCCTGGAGGCATCTGAACCCTCGTCTGTGTGCAGAATGGAAGCGTTTTCCAAAACAAGAGTCAGAGCCAAACCTCCAAGCTCTTTCCAGCCAACATTCAGCCCAAGGCAGAGGGAGGATTTCTGAATCTGATTCCTGTGCACATTCCTTCTGAGAAGAGTTGCCCATCTTCCCCTGGGGCCGTGGCAACTGCCTGACCGAACTTTCCCAGGAAGCAACACTACCTCTACCTCCCGTGGCATGTTTCTGTCCCCTTGCACCCACTAGAAAACACACACACTCCCCTAGAGGTGGCCCAGGGCAGCAGCAGATTTGTGAGAGGCGGTCATGAGAAATTTTTCCCCACCGTCCCATCCAGCTACCCTTTGTGCAGCTCCGGGAGGTATTGGCAAAGACACACCACATTGGGTCGATGTCTAATAGGGGAATCTGTAGGCTTTGCAGTTTTGCAAGATGGAAAGATCAGCAATGGCACGAGGATCTAGAAATTTTGCCTGGAATTGTGAGAGCTTGCCTGGCATATGGGTGGAACATTCCTGGGAAGGGAAGGTAGAAAGGAATATAATGTACAAGGAGGCACGGACCATGAGTGACGTCATGACTTCAGTGCACCAATATCAGCCGTTCATTTCAGTCAAGCATTTGTTAGCACTTCTCGTGTCTAGAACTACAACAGATATTACACGACATAAAAAATGCACAACGCATGGTCTCTGTCCTCAAGAAGCTTGCAGTCTAATTAGAGACTCAAACCCCTTCTACACAGCACTGAAGGCTTAATCTGTGAGGCACAGATCCTAGGTTCGTGAGGAGTTCAGAGAAAGGAAAAGCCTGGGTGAGCAGAATCTTCAAGAAAGGTTGGGACCGAGCAGGACCCAAAGGACTGCGATGGTGGCAAGGTGTGAGGGACATGCTGGGATGGGAGGAATGTGTGAGAGGGCTCCCTTTCACTCAGGTGGAGTCAAGCAGAACATACCAGCACATCAAGGCCAGACCGTATAGGTCCTTGAAGGCTGAAACAGCATCTTGGGGTTGTCTGTGCCAGCTGTCCCATCAGGTTACCTGGAAGCTCCTTCATACACAGCCCAGACCCTGTCAGTTATAGGACTCAGAATCTCACGCGTGGAGCTTGGCATCTGTGTTGGGAAAGTCTGCAGGCCATTCGGATGCACAGCTGGGGCAGAGAACCTCTGTAGGAAGAGGTTTAAGTTCAGGATTGTGGGGAAAAACACATCAGAAGGTGTTCCAGATGGACTGGGCTGGAAGGGGGTGCAGTGGGAGGGGATGTGAGGCAGGTATAGGTAGAAGGCTGGGTGCTAGGGCCCATGTGAAGCCATGAGGCCTGGGCTTGTGATGGTGGGAGTGGGGTGCAGGCATTATAAATCACAGATTGTCCTGGGTAATGCAGGACTCTGTGACAGATTGGAAAGAGTGGCTAGAGGTGCCCACATGTTCAGGAAGCACCAGTATGCCAGTCTCAGACTAGAACATGGTGGCCCCACCCAGTGAAGATCCAACACGCAGAGCTTGGCCTGGCCAAGCTGGAGGTAATCACAGCACACACAAATGGAGCTCCCCCATACATACCCAGAATGACAGAAAGTGGGGTGCAGGGGCAAGCTCAGAGCTAGAAATGTAGACTTGGAAGCCTTCAGCCACACATCTAGTGTCACCGAGGAATGACTCTGGGCCTGGGGTCCTTAGGTCCTCCCTGCTGCAGCGTGTGTGTTACCTGCACGCCGTTTCTTCCTCTCTAGGGAAGAGCTTCAGGGAGCAGCAGTGTGAGAAGTACAACGCCTACAACTACACCGACATGGACGGGAATCTCCTGCAGTGGGTCCCTAAGTACTCAGGGGTGTCCCCCCGAGACCGCTGCAAGTTGTTCTGCCGAGCCCGGGGAAGGAGCGAGTTCAAAGTGTTTGAAGCCAAGGTGAGACTCTTCCTGGGGTGCAGATCCATAGATGGGGAAGAAGGCCGCTTGTCCCCACCCCACCCCCGCTTGCAGGCTACGTCTGTGCACCACAGGCCCTCTCCCACCTTTTCTTTCCCTGCTGCAGGTGATCGACGGTACCCTGTGTGGGCCGGAGACGCTGGCCATCTGCGTCCGTGGCCAGTGTGTCAAGGCGGGCTGTGACCACGTGGTGGACTCAGCTAGGAAGCTGGACAAGTGTGGGGTGTGTGGGGGCAAAGGCACCTCATGCAGGAAGGTGTCCGGCTCCCTCACCCCCTCCAGGTGAGTCTCGCAGTAGGTCTGTGCCTAGGGAGAAGAGCACAGAGGGCTTTGGACACTGACTGGCCCAAGTTGAATTGTGGCTGCTACTTAACAGCTGTGTAGATCGGGCAAGTTATTTAAACTCTCTGAGCTTCAGTTTCTCTATAAAATGTCATCAGTCATCCCTGTCTCAGAGTCATCATAAGAATTTCATGAGATGGCATGTATGGAGCACTTGGCACGGTGTCCAGCCCATAGAGAGGTCGGCATGGGGCAGCCATTACTTTTGTTAGAGCTGGAGGCCACATGGACGGGGTGTATGGTCTGAGTCAATCAGCAGGAGAACTACGGGAGTAACCTGGATCTCTGCCAGAAAAAAGCTCTTCCAGGCCTGTTTTGGGAAGGACACCTCACCCTAAGCTGGCAGCCCTGTCCTTTTGCAGAGAAGGGGGTAGGAGAGGGCCTCGGCAGCCTCAGGGCCTTCACAACCCCAGACGCTTTCCTCACATCCCGATGCCCCATATTCATAGAGCTTCTCGTATTTTCCAAAGTGCTTTCACTTCCATGGTCTCATTTCATTCCTGAAATAAGACTGCGAGGTGAGCAAGGCCAATACTATGAATATTAGTGTCTCATTGTACAGATGAAGAAACTAAGGCATGAAAAGATTAAGTGGCTCTTCTGAGGTCACACTGATAGTTCATAACAGCCAGAAAGAGAACCCTGTTTTCCGAAGTCCTGGACAGTTTTTTCCTGCCATTCCATGCACTTCCTGGAGAGTAAGGGCAAGGTCGGGTGTTGTGTGTGGGCCACACTCTCCACGCTGGCATCAAATATGTAAATTTGTCCCTCTGGAGGCTGCGTAAGCGTCGACTCCTTCTCCCACTGTTCCCACCCGCAGTCCCTCAGAGCTTTTGAGAAGTGTTCACTTCCCAGGGAAGCTTGTGCCACCCTTCCCCTTCTCTCTCTCTCTCTCTCTCTCTCTCACACACACACACACACACACATACACACACACAAGCGCACACACACACACACACACAAGCACACACACACACACACCCCTCACCAGTCTCAGACTACAGAGTCAGACTATAGCAGACAACTTGGGAGTCTTTTCAAATCTGAACTCAAAGGATAGAGAAGAAAGAGGCATGAGTTATTCAGATACTGAGTCTCTTGGCTGCCTGCTCTTAGGCATTAGACGCATGGGCCTGTGGATACTTTTGTGGCCCCAGACTAGCAACTAGCCCCAGGCAGGTGGACAGCAGGAATAGCAAAGAACCCATCTGTCCTCCTCCACACTCTCTAACTTCTCCCCAACCTATGTAACCCAGATCCCCAGAAAAGAACAAACAACTAAGCTTTCTCCACCCCACGTAAAGTTCTGTGCCTATAATGGACTTGAAACACTTTCCCAAGACAGCAGCATCCTGTCACTCCAGAAGCAGAGCGTTCATGGTGTCTGGGCATGCCTAGAGGTGGTTCCAAAGAAGCAGGCTTTACCCCCAGTCCTGTCCTGGGGCCATATCAACCAAATACTAGGAGTTGATTGACTCAAAGAGGTGGCGTGAGATTTCCATCCTGGTCAGGTTCTGGAAGGCGTATGTGGAACAGATTTTTCCACTTGGTTTGTGCTCTGGGTATGGACGTAACCAAGCAAAGTTTTATACCAGTGCAAGGACCTAGATGTATTTGAGATCTTACTGGAGCCGAGTGATGCCAGGCTTGGCTGCACCGACACTGCTTTTCAAACCCCTCTGGGCTCTCCTCCTCTCTGCTACTGTCGACACCCACATGTCTGAACTCCCCAAACCAAACATTTGAAATAGAGTTGCCAGATGAAGCAAAAGCCCTTGAAAATCCCAGTGTGCAAGACATTCCTGTCTTTCCAGCAGCTGATTTATTTAGAATTTGAGGGACATTTGCTTGATTATTTGGTAGTTGTTTCTGTTTGGCCACTCCAATCACTTGGGTGCCCACTTTGGTCTCCAAGGCACCCTGGTGACCCAGGCTGGGTAGCCACTGGCCCTAAGGGTGTCTTTCTGTTCCTATCACAGTTATGGCTACAATGACATCGTCACCATCCCAGCTGGTGCCACTAACATTGATGTGAAACAGAGGAGTCACCCAGGCGTCCAGAATGATGGCAACTACCTGGCCCTGAAGACTGCCGATGGGCGGTATCTGCTGAATGGCAACCTGGCCATCTCTGCCATAGAGCAGGACATCTTGGTGAAGGGGACCATCCTGAAGTACAGTGGTTCCATTGCCACCCTGGAACGGCTGCAGAGCTTCCGGCCCCTACCTGAGCCTCTGACCGTGCAGCTCCTGACAGTCCCTGGTGAGGTCTTCCCCCCCAAAGTCAAATATACCTTCTTTGTTCCTAATGATGTGGACTTTAGCACACAGAACAACAGCAGAGAGAGAGCAACCACCAACATCATCCAGCCGCTGCTCCACACGCAGTGGGTGCTGGGGGACTGGTCTGAGTGCTCAGGTACCTGCGGGGCCAGCTGGCAGCGGCGGTCTGTGGAGTGCAGGGACCCCTCTGGCCAGGCCTCTGCCACCTGCGACAAGGCTCTAAAACCTGAGGATGCCAAGCCCTGTGAGAGCCAGCCATGTCCCCTGTGATCCAGCGGGGCAGGGACTGGTATTGTGCTTGTGAACCGTGGGTGCTGGGGTGCAGCAAGGATCTCCACTGTGGTGACCCTAGTATCAAGGTGGCATGGCCTCCCCAGATCGCCCATTGCCTCAGTTCCCGGGTACTGCATGAATTCATAAGGGGGAGGAAAAGAGGGGACAGGGACGACAGATCTTAAAGTTGACTGTCTAGTGGACTGGACCTTGCTTGGGTTCAAGTAGAGGACATAGGTTAAAAGGTAAAAGTGCACTTATTGACCCAAACAGGAGACTCACAGTCAGCCTGTTTGCAAAGGACTAGCAAAGTTAAATGAAAAAAGTTCTTTTCTACTTGGTTTCCCCGATAAATAATCTACCTCAGAGGGGAAAAAATTAGTACAAGAGAGATGCTGAGCGGGGAGTGGGTAGTGAATGTGAAAGCAAGCTCTGTAGCCCCGCCCGACTGTCTTCAGTGCTACAATCCACCGCCTAAGGGCTGCAGCTTTGCCGGGTTGTGGAGAGCCACATGTTCTCAGGCCGCCACCTGCAGGGGTGGATCCATTTCAAGTATTTATGCAAATGTGTCTCAGAACTAAAGTGTGATCTTATGCCAACGTCATGGTCTGGTCTGGTTCATTATTTCTTTGGGAAGTGCAGAAGACCCAGGGCCCAAGGGCGGAGGGAACTAGATCAGCTCACCTTCAACACATAGAGCGGCTGACCTTTCTCCCAGCTCAATAATCAGATGTCTGCTTTGGGTTCTAACAAGCCTGCCAAATCCAGCTATTAGGGCAACTCGTCATTCACGTGATCCGGAAACATGGTTTTCTAGCTTTAGTAGGTGTTAGGGTCATCTAGACATCTCATTAAAACACAGATTATGGGGCCCATCCTTAGAGTTTTTGGTCCAGTGGGTTAGAGGATGGCCTGAGAATCTGCAATTCTAACAAGCTCCTAGGTGGTGTGGAGGCAGTTGGCCTGGGGACCATGCTCTGAGAACCCCTGTGCTGGAGGAAACCTCCGACTGGGAGGTCACAAGGGTTCTGCAATGCCTCTGGGCTCATCATTCTTGAGAAAGAATATCCCATTCCACACTGTGAGCTTCCCCATCATCACTCTTATAGACTGGCCTGCCTCTTGTTTCAGCTGGAGGCACAAGATTCTCTCAGGATCTCAGGAATTCTAAACCTGTCTCTAAGTGGCAGTGTCACAATGACCTCAGCACCTGCTCCCACCCCAACACCCACCAAATTTCATCCACATTTTACAACTCTTTCAGCCCGAGCAAATCGTAACTGTCCCAATGAGCCCTTTTACCCACAATGGCACTCCCCGCAGTCACCTGAAATCTACCTGAGAGCCTCCAAAATCCCCTGTTCTGCTCCATATCTCCTCATCTCTCTCGTGGCTCAGAAGAGCTCTCTGGCTCAGTCTTCCATATGGTCTGGTGTAGAGAGAACATAGTCCTTGGTCACAAATGGGTGAGAAGAAACAGACAACATCAAGAGATGACATTCTAGCAAAAGAAGGGAAATACCTAAGTTTGCATTTTCCTTTTTCTATCACCTTTGACCCCTCTGTCCTTCCCTTCAGGTTTCTCTTATGACCCTTTCAAATACATGTCGACATGGGCATAGAGGATGCTAGATAGAGCCCTGGTGTGAATAAGGACTCAGACCCATGGGGCACAAGGCCAGGCCATCAGGATTCCAGCCCCAATTCTCCCTCGTAGCTGGTCTCTACACGGCGGCAGTTGATGTAGAGTTGACCCCTGTCCCTGTCTGCCTACTCTTTTTAGTGAGTGAAAAGCTGGGCTTACCTAAACGTAAACAAGCGTGCACACAGGCATGTTGTTGACAACTAGTGAAACCAGATTTTTCCCTAGCTATATACCAGTTTTGATGAGGTTTATGTTTGTTTCTAAAATTCTTCATCTCTTTTCATTTCTCATTCTCCCCCAAATACTCAAGGCCAAGTGTGTCCCCAACGGCTCCCCATGCCAGGCCAGCTGTGCCATCCGTAGTGCCTGCATCATTACCAGGCACAGCTTTTGCCCTGGAGTTCAGCTGGCAGCTGAGCTGCTGATGTGCAAAGCAGAAAGGAATCCAGCTTGGCTCTCCCTTGCTGTGTGGGCTCAGCAAGGCTCACAGAATACATACTTGTTTGTGTCTGGAAATTCAACAGCTGCAGCTCAGGGACTCAGAAAACAGATCTGCAGAAGGAGACCGCACTATGATTTTCCCCAGCCAAGCACGACCACCCTTTAAGCCCAGAGAAGGAAAGGCTGAATTTCCTTTGCTGAGAATTTGCATTGTCCAGCTAGTGCTCCTAATGGAAACTAGTACTGGTGCCTTCTCATGGAAGTCCCCAAGGCCCCGACTCAGCAGGTAACTTGGTCATTAATCTGGATTCTATGAGCACCTGCCAGAAATATTTCAGAGGTGACACATTAGCATCAAAGTTCATTTCCAACCATTTATCCTTAAGATAAATGAATCCTTATCAGATCATTCTCTGCCCTTTATTCCCCTATAGATGAACAGAGGGTTTTGTGAATCTACAAAACGGTGCAATGTTACTGGTCCCCACCCCACTGTAGCAAACCACCCCTCTCTCCCAGGCACGTTTTCCAGGGGTGGTGGGACCATCTTCTTCCACGATCCACATCTCGCTCTCTGATGATGTCCACTAGCTTCTACGTTCTTTATGCTTGGACTTTCTAACCAGTGGAACCTCTAGGTGAAGACTGTCCTCCTTCCTAGTGTCCAAATATACAGGTCTTCTTGCTTCCCTCTGGAACACTCTTTGTTTTTTCTAATCGCCTTTTCCTTTCCCCCAAAAAAGCAACAAATGACAAGAACGATAGGAAAGTTCTTAAGGGTATGTTGTTTTTGCTTTGTCTTGATTTTTGAACTGCGGTCCAGCAGACAAAAGAGAGCGTCCTTGTCCCTGCTGCATAACTGAGTTTCACAGCAGTGTTGCTGGGGGCCAGGCTCTCCCACAGCCCAAGACTCCCCGCATCTGGGTCTCCCCTGATCACAGGAAGGGATGCTTGTGAGCCCAGCAGAAATCTTCACTCCATGTTCTCTGCCCAGATCACCAAATCCCTCCCGGAACCAGCAGTGTCCCCTTTGCTGTTTGGGAATTTGGAATGGTTTCTCCATGAGGGTAAACAGGAATGTGGAATTTACCGGAGAGAACTGGACATAGTATTGCCCTGGGATTTCCAGAGTTCTGCTGCCACAGCCTCATCACTTCCTTTTGCCCCTGTGGTGAGTTGAAGCTAAATTACTGACTACGCGGCCCAATAAACCATGAGATGAGGTGAACACGATGAAGACAGTGACGGCGACATTTTACGTGAGGTTAAGTTACTGTCCCTGAGACCTGCCTTCTGTCTTCTTTGTGCCCAGTCTGCTCCGTGCAGAGTGGAGGGAGTTCCCTGAGTGAAAAAAAGTGTGTGTACCCCAGCCCAGCATCCCCACCCCTGGCTCCACCACTTGATAGACAACCAGCCACCCCACGGCCTTGCACATGGACCGTCTGCGGGTGCTAGGTCAGAAACTGAGGAAGGGACAGACGCAGCAGCTCTCCAGCCCTCGAGAAATAGAAACTAGAGTTTGCTCTCTGCTGGTGGCCCGTGGCTGAAGGGTAGCATCTAATAGGGAAAACACTCGTCTAGCACAGTCGCTGGCTGAACTTGCAGCTTTGGGAAAGCTGCACGTGAATGTGAAAGAGAAAGAAGTCATCCGTCTAAGTGACATTTTTGCTGGCTCAATGTAGGTGATCACTTAAGTGACAAATACTGAGGTCATGTTGACTTTACGTGTGAAAATACAGTTGACCCTTGAACAACACGGAGGTGAGGGGTGCTGACCACTCCCCTACCCATGTGCAATCAAAAACATCCATATAACTTTTGACTCCCCAATCACTTAACTAACATTTAACACTTGACCAAAAGCCTTACCAATAACATAGACAGTCTATTAAGAATATTTTGTATGTGTGTTATATACTGTATTCTTATGATAACGTTAACTAGAGAAAAGAAAATGTTATTAAGAAAATCATAAGGAAGAGAAAATACATTTACAGTATTTACTGAAAAAAAATCTGTGTGTAAATGGAACCATGCAGTCCAAACCCATGCTGTTCAAGAGTCAACCATAGTCTAAACAATACCAGATAACACACTGAGGGGAACTAAAGTCAGAGTGCTGAGTGAGCAGAGTGGTTGGATTGTGTCTCCATTTCTTCTCTGTTCCACATCAGCCCCTCCCAGGCACCTGTCTGCTTTCTAGGTCAACACTTCAGAACGACTTGGCCAGACTTACCAAAATAGGTGAGCCCCATTCCAACTTGTGCCATGTTTCCCTGGTGCATTCTTTTTTAGGTGGGGAGCTTCTCTGACATCCCACTTAGAAAGTAGCTGGTCTTGCTTGTCGGCCAACCCACACCCCTCAAACTATATAAAGGGGCTCCTCACAGCCACTGCTCAAGTATTGGGAAGGGAGAGATGACACCCAATGTGCAATCTATAAGTACATTCTGAACTGTCATAATAAGCAAGGAGAGAGAAAGCCACCTGTTTCTTTTAGAACATACTTTCCCTCAGGCCTTGGGCTCACTGGGGAGAGACAGGAACGTTCTGGCTAGCCTTCCATCCCTGTGAGCTGCCCAGCCTACCCCTGGCAGATGTGCAATTGCCCAGGAAAGGACAGAGTGAGGAAGCCTTCCCCAGACCTCACCGTTCCTCATTCCAAACATCTTGTACGTCTCAGGGGCACTGAAAGAGTTTGTCCTCAGCCAAACACAACTTCCTGCTTCTAAGAAAGGGAAGAAAAAAATAGTTGCAAGGGTTTTTGGACACTGGAGATAGCAAGTTTCTGTAAATGCAAATGAATCAGACACATGTGTAATAAATTTCTCTGCAAGTAAGAAAAGATGCTGTGAGTTCCTCTTGCTGGACCAGAAAGAGGGAAAAGGGTAGCTGGGAGGGGAGGTGCACCAGAAGCTGAAAGGAGAGAGAAAAGCCATGTGAACGTCGGATCAAAGGGAGGATCCCACTGATGACAAGCAGCAATGAGGCTCCTCCTGAGGCCCCATCCTGAACTGCCTGTTACTCAGAACTTCACCTCTGATGTTATCAATTCAAATATCCTGCTCCCCGACCACAACTCCCATCTTTCCAGACTTCTCACTAGCTCCCACTAAATTTCTTCTTCTTCATCACAGGAGCCCCGGGGCCCTGACCACCCCATGTATGTGCTTCCCCTACCTGCCTTTACTTCTCTGTCGACTTCTTCCTTCCCTGTGCTGCTTAGACTCCACGCTCCAGCACCTCAACCCCAATCTTGCCAATATTCTCAATGTCCTTGCCCCACTGACTTCTGTGGTGCTCAATGAGCACAGCCCCCCTCAGGACCCACTCAAGTCTCTCCTCATACTCGGCATTGTTGTGCTAACAAGAGAAGCCACACCCTGGGGGCATCGCACCACTGAGCATACAGGTG